AAAAAAAAAAAAAAAAAATATATATATATATATATATATATATATAAAATTAAAGAAGACACAGGAGGTTCTGATTGTGTTTGAGGTAGAACTCAGGACATAAATATCTTTGTAAATTTCCTTAGTGATTCTCATAAATATCCTTGATTAAAAACCATTGTTCTGATACAGCAAGAAAATTAAGTACATTCTGCTTAAGACTGCAGGGATATTTATATAATCTCTGTAATTCTAGTCATTAAGGAAAAAAAATCTAGTAGAAAAACGGTCAAAAGATAAGGAGAAAATCGATGAAAGAAGAAATACAAATGACTGTTAACCTTGTGAAAATACATTAAACATCACTACTAGACAAAGAAATACATGTTTTCCTAACCAGATCACCAAAAGTGAAAAATTTGGGCTGTTTGTAGAAACAGGCACTCAGGTTCTTTGGTGGTAGGAGTATGAGTTAGTACAAATCTGTAGGGCAGTTTGGCAATATGTATCAAAGTTTTAAATGTTTTTATTATTTGATAAGTAATTTTATCCTAAGAATTTATTCTAAAGACATCGGAAAATATCAGATTACAAAACAACATGTACAATGTGACCTCTATGGTTAGGATCAGCATTTTTTACAAGTCTGAAAGGCTATATATATATAATATAACAAAATAATACCAGTAGTTATAGCTGAGAGGTATGACTACAGATAAAAAAAATTTTTTTTAATGTCACTATTGTAGTGTCTGTAGGTGGCTTTGGTACACAGAGATTATGTAGAAGTTCCTTTGTCTCTAAAAGTTTAAATCACCCTGGGCTTGAAGAGACATAGTAGGGAGTTTGTTACCTTCTGGGCTGTCTAAAGTTGCTTATTGATTTCATTCAGCAGTGAGATCCTGAAGCTCCTGATTTTCTCATTGCCCTGACAACCAGGCTGAGCCCCTTTAAACAACTACTGAAATTTTAAACAGAAGTCTCATTATCCACTCAGAAAGTCTATAGTCTCCTTAAGATTGTAGTCAATTGCCTTCACTACTTTGTTGGTTTTGTAATTCTTTTTCCTTTTAAGATATTTAAATATTTTCCTGTTTTGCTCTAAAGATACTTTAAGGCTATTGAATTCTTTATACTCAGGGAATTCTTTATACACTTAGGTAATTCTGTGGTAACAACTTCGAATTTGATGAAATCTGACACTCCATGTTCTTCACCCCAGCTTTATTGAAGTATAGTTGGCAAAAAAATTTTATATATCTAAAGTGTACAATGTGATATTGTGAAATATTTACCACAATTAAGTTGATTAACACATCCATCACCTCACATAGTTATCTTTTGTGTGTGTGGTGAGAATGCTTAAGATGTACTCTCAGCAAATTTCAGGTATACAATACAGTATTATTGACTGTAGTCACCATTGCTGTCCATTAGATCCTCGGAACTTATTCACCTTAAAACTGACAGTTTGTACTCTTTGACCAACATCTTTAAGTTTCCCCTATCTATATTCTGTCTACTCTTGTAGATAACATTAACTTATGGTTAAATTCTGGCTATTTCTCAAGTTTTATTTAGTTCTGGATCACAACTTCTTAGGTCATTCAAATGACAGTTTTGACTTTCAAATTTTTTTCCAGTTTTTTGGTACATTTTAAATTACTAAAGAGCATATATAATTTTTATAAGGAGAGCGAAAGCTGTTTTGATTTGGGGGGGAAAAGATAGGGAACTTCAGAATCAACAGAAGAGCTATTCTAACCTATAAAATATTTAACAACTGTTAACTAGTAGGATACAAGATAAATAAGAATCAGTAACTTTTCTACAGGCCCTGTGTGAAGAAAACTAACAGGAAGACTTAAACCAAGAGGTTTTTTGCTTTTTTTTTTTTTTAATGTGACTGTATAAGACACAAATATACACAGATACTAGCTACTGAAAGTTTTTCCCAGAATCATTTACAGTTTTAATTTTAGTTAGCATCTCAATAGGTTTTTCTTTCTGGATGAATAGGAAATAGAGAGTGAGGAGGTATCTTAAAAATGATTCTGTAGCTCATTTGAAGTCAAGACATTTTTGAAAAAGTAATGAGCAAGTATTTGTCATATCAATAATGAGCAAAGACTATAATACTATTGTAAGAAGATTGTGGTTCTCATAGACCTGTGGACTAGAAACAGACCCTGATATATGTAAGAATTTGGTGGTATCATAAATCAGTGGAAAAGGAGGGATTATTCAATAAATGGTGTTAGAATAATTGGTTAACCATTTGGAGGAAAAGAAATGAAGTTAAAATTTCCCCTCAAATCTATAACAAAATTCCAGATAGATTGAAGTTAACTACAAAATAGAAGCCATTAGAAAATTTAAATGTAGGTAAGCACTTAATGACCTAGGGGAAGGAGTTTATAAGCTTAGACAGTGAAAGAAATCACACAGGGAAAGGTGGATCATTCTTAACACATAACAGCCGAAAACTTCTACAATAAAGGTACCACAAATGCAATTAACAGACAGATGGAAAAATTAGAAAACTATTTCCAGCAAATGTGACAAAGTGTATACATGTGCACATATCTACCTCTTGGGGGTCAGAGAAGAGATAAGCTGTATTTCTTAACCATTTTGGGATAACCCTCTTCCAGAAAAATGTATGTGCTGCACGTGCACACTAATGGGAACGTGCATATGTACACATGCCCCAAAATTTCAGTAAAATTTTAGCAGACTCACATGTTCATAGGAGTTCTATGAACCACAAAAGAAGTGCTTGAGTAAACTTCAACCTCCCTGTTAAAGAAATGGAAGGTTTTTAAAAATGGTAATTTTGAATATTGGTAAAAATATTGGTAATGGGATATAAATTAGTAAAACCTCCCTAGAAAACTCTTTGGCTTTTAAAATGTCAGAATCTTATTTAAAAATTCTGTTTCTTGGAATTATTTTAAGAAACTCAGAATCTCAGACATTTTTACTGTATATAGCAGTGATCATTATGTACAGAAATGCTCATTACTTATACTAGCAAAAAATTGGAAGCACCCTGAATGCTCAACTTAGTATAATGGTTATTATAAGTTTTAGTTTATAGACATATAATAGAACATCATGGAGCTATTATAAGTTTTCTAAAGACTGTTTGGTGATGTGGGAAAACAATTAAAATGTCCTGTTAAATGAAAAAAGGAAATGCAGTACGATTTTTTTTTTTAAGTTGTTTCTAAGTGATGGGACTGTTGGTGGTTTTAAATTTTTTATTCATTTATGTATTCTTCATTTATTTTTATAGTGATATGTATTAGTTCCATAATTAAAACACTCTTGAAAAAAAGTTATTCTGTTGTATAATTTTTAAAGTCTTACTTAAAAATCAGTAAAATAACAATGATTTGACACTCAAAAATATTTGCCAAGTTTTGTTTTTCTTGAAAACTTTAATTGTTATTGGTTCAAGAAATTTTATCTTAAAATACATGTGGAATTAAGACAGAAAATTAATTTTTGGATACCTTTTCCTTCTCCTACTAGAAGTGGAAGACCTGTTTTCTTCACTTAAACATATCCAACATACTTTGGTAGATTCTCAGAGCCAGGAGGATATTTCACTGCTTTTACAACTTGTACAAAATAAAGATTTCCAGAATGCATTTAAGATATACAACGCTGTCACAGTACACATGAACAAGGCCAGTCCTCCATTTCCTCTTATCTCCAGTGCGCAAGACCTTGCACAAGAGGTATGTATTCTGAACATCTCATTGACATATACGAAGTAATTGATAGTGATAGTAAGGCAGCATTCTTGGAAAATACTGGTGTGAATATAAGGTTTGTTAGAATTAATTACTGCTGATCACATGTTAATAATTTATTGTGTTAGGAAAAATTTGCTTATGTATATTTTATCCTGAAAAAAATATATGCTTAGTTCACAGGGCTCTGTTTCATGAAGAGAATAGCATTAGGTTTGTATATACAACTACATATTTGCATAGTAAGAGAAATATTCGTCTAAATTACTAAAGGGAAAAAATTTTAATGTAGTATAGTTTTATTTTAAGCATTATACATTATAAACTGAGATAAATGAATACTGATGAGATTAAATTATATTCGATAATCAGGTATCATAAATATGTAACTTCTAAGATTGGTTACTTGTAGATATTTTGAAGTTTTTCCTCTATAGATACTGTATAGAAGGTCCAAAATAATTAAATTTCAATGTACAGTGAGAGTTTCTTATGTTAACATGCTGATATTTAAGTTCTAGTGTCTGCTGCTTGTTGATGTTTAGTGTTTAATGTGTTTTGCAAACATATTTTATATATTTATTTTAAAAAGTATTTATTTGACTGCGCTGGGTCTTAGTTGCAGCACGCGGCATCTTTAGTTGTGGCGTGTGGGATCTTTAGTTGCGGCATGCAGGATCTAGTTCCCTGACTGGGGATCGAACCTGGGCCCCCTGCATTGGGAGCACAGAGTCTTAACCACTGGACCACCAGGGAAGTCCCTCTGCAAACATATTTTAAACTGAAGGTTTTTAAAAGGATGTAAGTAAGCCATCTCCTATTTTTTGGGGGGTGGACATTCTGTCATTATTACAGGATTTTAAGTTATTTTGGTATTATAAAAATGAATAATTCTGGAAGCCCATCAGGTAAATCTATTTCACTGAACCCAGACACAAAACAGAAAATGGGCTGAGGGAAGGGTAGGACTTCCAGAGCTACAGACACGTAAAATAGGTTAGGAGGCACTTTTTGAAGTAGCACAGAATGTATTTTCTTCATTTAGATGCTTACAGTGAGCGAAGGTCCTATGTGCAAGAGTGGCAGAGAGAAGTCTCATGTTGCTCAGGATAGGAGTGTGACCTAGGGACCTGTTCCTACAGGGGAAATTTCCCATCTGCTAGTTAAAAGACCTAGTTGAGACCTATTCTTTGTGCTCATTTTTTATTATTGAAATTAAATATGTAGAATTTTTCATTAATAAATTATCCCTGTAGTTTTACTTAGAGTTTAAATGGGTTTCCTGAAAATTCCTTATAGAGATTGAAATAGCTGACAGTACTTTGATCTTATTTATTCACAAGTATAGTATAACTTCTATTGTGTAGTGTTGGGAGGAATACATAATAGATCATTGTAATCCTTCTCTTCCCATTTAGGAGGAAGGTTTGTCCAGCTAGGTACTGGGGCTTTGTTTTGTTAAGAACAGTAGGTAGAAAAGAGAATGATATAAGCAAGAGAGATTTAAATTGCTCCGTTGGAAGAAAGTGACACAACAGAAAGGCTGGAAGGAAAGGGGAAAAAAAGGAGGCAATGTAGCTTTAAAGGGTTTTAGGAGTTGAGAGGCAAAGAACTAGAAGTGGCTTAAAGAGTAATGCTTTGAGAGAGAAAGAAATGGTTAAAAAGGACTTTAAAAACTCAATTTTCAATGTTAGATTTAGCATAGTTAACATGTACATGGTTCACAATTGTAAAAGTATTGATTCTATATCAAGGAGATTTTCTCAAAGTTTGCTTTCACAGCCTTCAGTAATACTTGAGAATTGTATTGCTTTGGTGGTGGTGGGATAGTAGGTGATTAGTGACATTGGGCTGAGACTGGTCTTAAAATGAGTGCAAAATGACTAACCTAGTTGGGGCAACAACATACGGTTGTGCTACAAAAAGAATGACTTCCCCTGGAGTTGTGCATGCACGACTGTGTGGCAGCCCTGACTTGACAGTGCATAACATGTGAGAAAAGGATGTACTTGGAACTCATCAAAGAAGAGTGTTAAATCTGATAACAAAATTCTGAAGGTTAAATGGACTCATTGCTTTTATTTTACAGCTGGAAAAGCTTAACAGTCACCTTATTCAACCCTTCTGTTTTATGTTTCTGAATTTTGAGGCCAGGTGAGGTTTTGTGACTGGGATGAGACTAACTAGGCTACTCATATGCCCATTGCCTAATTTTTTGCTTTTTAGCATTCATAATTCCAGCTTTTTTCATATACAGTATTTAAAGGAAGAAATTACTTCATGTTTCAGTTACTATATCATTTTTAAATGGAAATTTAATCCAAGTAAGTAAAAAAAACTCAAGAATTTGATGAAAGAATGTCTTAACATATTAGGAAGTGTTCTTTGTTTTTATAGCTTAAAATATCAGTTAAACATTAAATACCATATAATAATACAGCTTCTGAAAACTTCATATACTGAGATCCAGGTTATATCTTTGACAATCCAGGATACTCATTAATAAATGTAAAACAAGTTTTTTGATCATTTTTAAAGTGCTTTTATCAACAAAAGGTTGAGAACCTGGGTTTCGTTAAATGAACTTTTGCTTATCCAGTAAAAATGCAAGCCAACAAACTAGAAAATGGTATTTGATTATTTGATTTTGAGATATTGAGGTATATACGTGTATAAGTATATATATAACAAAAACTTGCATCCAAAAGAACTGTCGCAAATTAACAAGAAAGAGACTACTTAGTTTTTTTTTATGGGCAGAGGACTTGAACAGACACTTCACAAAAAGAGGAAACCCCAACAGCCAGTAAGTATGAAAAGTTCAGCATCATTAGCTAATAGAGAAATGCAAATTAAAACAAAATGAGAGACTACTACATAGACACCAAAATGACTAAAAAAATTTTTAAAAGACTGGCAGTGTTAAATCTTAATGAACTTATGGAGCAACTGAAACTCTGATAATGTTACTGGTGGAGTATAAATTGGTACTGCCACTTTGGAAAATGTTTGGAAATGTCTGCTAAAGCTAAAGTACCTATATCTGTGACCCAACATTTTTACGTCTGGGTATGTACCTGAGAGAAATGAAAACATATCCACACAAAGGCTTAAGCATAAATGCTCATAGCAGCCAGATAATCATTAGAAGCTGCAAAGAGCCCAGATGCCCATCAACCAGTGAAAATGGAGTTACACTCTCACTGTGGAAGAAAAATGAGTTAACAATCACAATCTAATGAGAAGTACTATGGTGGCAGTATGAAAAAGGTACCAAGAGCGTAATGAGATGTGCCTACTTCAGTAGGGGTGGGGGAGAGGCAGACATGGCAGAGGAGGAGATTTGGGAGGAAGGAAGAAACAGAAAATTTAATATGCTGTCTCTTTTTTTTTTTTTTAATTTATTTTTATTTTTGGCTGCGTTTGGTCTTTGTTGCTGCACACAGGCTTTCTCTAGTTGGCTGAGCGGGGGCTACTCTTCGTTGTGGTGCGTGGGCTTCTCATAGCAGGCTTTCTCTTGTTGCAGAGCACAGGCTCTAGGTGCGCCGGCTTCAGTAGTTGTGGCTCGCGGGCTCAGTAGTTGTGGCGCACGGGCTTAGCTGCTCCGCAGCATGTGGGACCTTCCCGGACCAGGGCTTGAACCTGTGTCCCCTGCATTGGCAGGCAGATTCTTAACCACTGCACCACCAGGGAAGCCCTATGCTAAGTCTTGAAGGACAGTTGGTAATTTATCTGAAAGCCCAAGAAAGAAGAAAAGCCTTTCCACTGGCAAAGCGTTCAAAGATAGTAGTGACTGAGAAAGCATGGCATATTTATTGCACAATGAGTAAGGAGTAGGATATGATTTTCAGGATAGAGTCCAGATCCTGAAGGCCAGATAAGCCATATTAATAAGTTTAAATTTTCTTATGATGGATCCACATTGGTAAACATTTTAAAATAATTAAATTACATGAATAGATGAAAGGAGAAAACCATATGATCATCTTGATGCAGAAAAGACATCTGAAAAAAATTTAATACCTTTTCCTTGATAATGAGAATTCTTAGAAAACCAGGTACATTTTGTTAAATTGGTAAAGAACAATATCAGAAACTAATAGGGAGCATCTTACCTAATGATGAAACACCCAACATGTTGCTTCTTTTTTTTTTTTTTTAATTTTTGGCTGCGTTGGGTCTTTGTTGCTGCGCGCGGGCTTTCTCTAGTGGCAGTGAGCAGGGGCTACTCTTCATTGTGGTGCATGGGCTTCTCATTGCCGTGGCTTCTCTTGTTGTGGAGCACAGGCTCTAGGCGCGCGGGCTTCAGTAGTTGTGGCACGCGGGCTCAGTAGTTGTGGCCTCGGGCTCTAGAGCGCAGGCTCAGTAGTTGTGGTGCACGGGCTTTGTTGCTCCATGGCATGTGGGATCTTCCCAGACCAGGGCTCAAACACATGTTCCCCGCTTTGGCAGGCAGATGTTTAACCACTGTGCCACCAGGGAAGTCCCCAGCATGTTGCTTTTTAAGCCTGGAATAATAAAAGGAATCTACAGACTCTCACCACTAGTATTCAGCATTTTTCTGGAGGTACTAGCTAGTGCAGTAAAACAAGAAAAAGTCATGAAATACAATGTTGTAGGGGAACAGGGAAAATGTGAATAAGTTTAATAAGTTACTTTGAAAAACTAAAACCTTGATTCATTTTGTAGTCAACATGAGGCCTATTAAAGTACAGATAAAATGTGTATACACACAGATATCCTATTTGAAAATGCAGGTAAAGAGATATTGAGAGAAATAATAAATTATTAACAAGGCTATCTCTGGGTGGTGGATATATAGGTAATTTTCTTGTTTAGATGTTGATGTGTTTCTCAAATTTAATACACAAAAGCCACTAAAGGAGAGTTCAAAGCAAGAAATTTATAAGTGATTGCAGAGCTCCCGAAGGATTTTAAACAAGACTGATATAAACAGGCTTCCAGTTTAAAGTATTATTCTGATA